GGAGGAAATTTCCAAATCAGAGAAGACTCTCAGTATCCAGGATCTGGTTAAGACTCCAGGTTGGTCATGGAAATTCTATCCCAACACCAAACTCTCTCTGCCATTGAGTCAATTTCAACTCATAGTGAGCCCCATAGGGTTTCCAAGATGAAGCAGATTGCCTCATCCTTCTCCAGAGGAGTGGCTTGTGGGCTTGAGTTTAAATTGGTGACCTTTTGGTTAATAGCCCAATGCCTTAACTACTATATACCACCAGGGTCCCTCAATTCCACTTCCTTATTCAAATATAACATTTTTGGGTTATTTTGGACATCTCTATTGGGAGCCTGAAAACTATCAAGTCATCTCATAACCACTTTTCTGGGTCTCCAGGACTCCTAGGACACCTCTTGCCTGGGGTGACCTCCTCAGCTACCCCTTAAACAGCATTAAATAGCAGCAGAAAAGAAAAGGCAAGAGAAATTTGTCAAGACACTTACCCTACAGAACTTACCCCCAAACATTCCAGTCTTTTCTTTTATTTTCAGCAGTTGACATCATTTGGGGGTAACTATTGCTTTCTAGTGAATCAGTTCCATTGACAGCACCTTCCATCAAATATGTCACATAGATTTCACATTACAAATCTACTAATTTAAGTGAGACTTAATGAGCTCATTCTTAGATCCTCAAAGATTTTTAGATATTCAATAGTGGGAAACTGCTGGCTTATTTATTGGCTGTATTTTCAAAGAATTTCAGAGAAGTCATTAAAGTAACATGTTTCTTCCTCCTCCAAAGTCTTTGTAATTGTTTTGTGTACCTGGAATGTCACAAAAGACCCTTCTCCAGCCCTAAACTCTTAAAAACCAAGAAATGTTATATAGAGTGGTAACTACAACTCCCTGAGTCCTATTCTATTGATCTGAGCCATATGTTATGACAAATAAATTATCCCATGAAGTGATTATCTTGTTTCTGGCAAGGATATAACAATTTAGATGTATGAGTTTATACTGCCCACAGGAAAGAATTTAGGTACAGAGCTCAGGAGAAGAAGAAAGATCCTACATTTTAGCATGAAAAGGGGAAAGGCCCAGTTAGAACAAAAATTACAAACGTAGAAAGCTTGTGGGGGTGAGTTGACTCAAAGCTTGAGAGCAGAAAAACTGGAGATTTAAATACCAGTAGCTGGGGGTAAAGCCAAGAAAAAAAGAAGGGAGATGAACTTGATGATCTCAGGAGTATTTCACAGTCAGATGCATGCTATGAAACACTGAACCTTGGTCCTGCGGTTTAAGAGACAGAATGAAGTATTGTTTTTTGACTTAACCTATTTAGTGCCTGAGCATACTGTGAGAGAAAGGTGTGCATCCCATGCATATTTTGAGGTAACAAAAAAATTGCTAAACTGAACCCCTGAATTTAGTGTGACTGCAACTGTTTGCCAAACTTAATTTTGCAGCTACGGGACTTGTTATTTATGGAAAAGGCCAACCCACGGCGATGACTGAGTGGCAATTACTCAATGGAGCTAAGCCGGAACATTATACACTTCGGTTTCACAAATGGTGGATATATTGCCCTACTTAGAAACAATGTTTTTTGAAAACTTCTTTGGGGACATTATTCATTTTCTTTAAACAAGGAAATCTTTAACAAACTCCCTTTGAAACAAGCACTGGGAATAGGTGCTTCTGTTTCTCCTAAGCAACTGAACTGTTTCCTAAAATTACACCTGTGTATAAAATTCTGTAACTGGTTGTTTTCTAATTTTTCTACCTTGGTAAGAAACTCAGAAGTAAGTTTTATGTGCAATGGCTGTCATTCTTCTCAATCACAATGTCTTGCTATAGGTTCTTCTCTTTCCACCTTTACTTTTTGGCTCATTTTGGTTCTTAAAACTGTTTGTGCAATCTCAATTTCTTTCTGAAGTGGGTGGCATATAAAAATGGTGCAATTAATTCAGAGATTAAAAATTTGCCTCCTGAGACATGTGCTTCCAAATGGCACTGCCTTCTCCTGGCAGAATGTTTGTCTCCTCCTCCTCTATTGTTTATTTACTTGAAGTGAGAAAGAACAAGAAAGCAGAAGACAGCAAATTGAGGGTGGAGGGTTTGCCTGGAAAATTCCCAAGAACACACGACTGGCAAAATAATACTCTCTGTAACAGATATGTCCTATGGAGAATTATGATTTCCATGTTCAAAGACTCTCTTTCTTTCTCTTGTATAAACATAGTTGGAAGCTGGTTTTTGCCAGTTCTTTCCTCAATGTTCAAGCAAAAATTGAAATTACAAATGTGCCCCAGGTGATGATTTTACCACTGTGGATGGAAATGAGTGTTTATATGCAGTCAGAGGCTGGAAAGTGGAAGTGGCAAAAGGAGTGAAATTAATATGCATAAGGGAGCCTGGGAGAATTCCCTGTTCTGGTTGCTAACCACATTCCCAGACTTCTAGGACATCCTTTAAGCTCTTTGCACTTGCTATAAATTGTCCATGATTATTAACAAAATTTAGAAATTAATGAGTTCACTAGTTGTAAGATTGTTCTTTGGGTAGAAATATAAGGGTCTTAGAGTCCCTGGGTGGTAAAAAAGATAAGTGTGGTTGGCTGCCAACCAAAAGCTTGACAGTTCTAGTCTACCCAAAAGTATGACAGAAGAAAGTCCTGGATGTCTATTTCTGAAAAATCAGCCACTGAAAATCCTATGGAATACTGTGACACATGTAAGGTTGCCATGAGTTGGGATCCATTGATGGCAACTGGCATAAGGGTCTTAGGACTGTTTCCCTTCAAATGAGTAATTATTGACTTTTTGTTTGTGTGTCTAATCTGTTGTAAAAGATGTCTTTAAAGTATTAAAAAGCAAAGATATCACTTTGAGGCCTAAGTGCACCTAACGTAAACCATGGTATTTTCCATTGCCTCACATGCAGGTAGACAATGAACAAAGACCAAAGAAGAACTGATGCTTTTGAATTATGGTAGGTTGGGCAATCCTACTTCCATAGTGATACTGCCTCGGAAACTCAAGGAGGGGTCGCTATGAGTCGGGACCGACTCCACAGCATATAAACAACAAACAACAACAAAAGAATATTGAATATATGATTGACTAGCAGAACAAACCAATCTGACTTGGATGAAATACAGTCAGCATGCTCTTGAGAAACAAGGAGGGCAAGACTTCACCTCTCACACCTTGGTCATGTTATCAAGAGGGCCCAGTCTCTGGAGAAGGACATCATACCTGCTACAGTAGAGGGTCAGCAAAAAAGAGATGGATTGATACAGTGGCTGCAACAATGGGCTCAAGCATTGGGATGATTGTGAGGATGGTGCAGGACCAGTTTTGTTATGTTGTACATAGGGTGGCTGTGGGGTAGAACCAACTCCACGGCACCTAAACAAGTTTCGAGGAGGAAAGATCTGGTGCCTCTTCATTCTCTTTGTGTACTTTTAAAGACATTGCAGTACTCAGTAGACAGCAATAAATGTGTTAAATGAATAAATTTATAAAACCTGAAGAACTTGGGACAGCAGTGAGAATACTGGCCCGAGTTCTATTTTGCTCTGCCATTATCTGTTGTTGTTGTTATGTGCCATCGAGTCGGCCCCGCTGATAGCGACCCCTCCTTGGGTTTCCGAGGCAGTATCACTGCCGAAGTAGGATTGCCCAACCTTCCTTCCGAGGAGTGGCTGGTGGGTTTGAACCGCCAGCCTTCTGGTTAGCAGGCAAGTGTCTTAGCCACTATGCTACCAGAGCTCCTGCCATTATCTAGTAAATGGATATTTCCCACCTGGCTCCCATTCATTCTCCTTCTCTCTGCCCCATGAGGCTGGTCCTGCGGACTACATGAACCAGGTTCCCTCACTGCCTGGCTTCTCAAGGGTCTTAGCCTGGAGAAGAGAGATCTAAAATGAAGATAACAATCGGGTAATTTTCCCTGCTCTCTTCTATCTTGGGCAGGATCAACCTCAGTACTCACACCTCCTGTGTGTGGCCCTTGTCTACGGTTTTAGCCTTTGCTCTTGCCTCATCTTCGTTTGTTCTCATAACCCTGCCTACATCTCTGTAAGTCGACCTCTGTTATGCTGGTATTGTTATTAGTATGGAGAGTACAACTGTTCCACTGGGTTTTCAAGGCTGTCACCTTTCTGAAGCAGAATGGCAGGCCTGTCTTCCAAGGTGCCATTAGGTGGGTTCAAACTGCCAACATTTAGGCTAGCAGTCAAGTACTTAACAGTTTGCTTTCATTTGGACATCTGTGGTAGATTGTGATTTCAGCCAGGTCTCTAAATGATACAAACAGAGACCCTGTTTAGCAATCAAGAAAAGTCTTAGAGTAGTTGGGTAGAATTCTGAACCACTGGGTTCATACCATTTGTGTCCAGAGTCCTTCCAGGAGACTGCTAGGTGGGCAAAAAGGCAGGGAAGATTAATTGGCTCCAATATGCCTGGATCTACCTCAAGCAGTTTTGCTTCATGAGGATAAGACTGAGGACACTTCAAGTGGGCCCTGCCACTGTTTCCAGGGTTTACATTTAAGGTTACCCACCAAAGATATTAATGCACAGGAGGATAAAAGAGCTTTGCTTATGACCCAATCAAAATGTGTCAGAATAGAGGGTTTATTTTTGATGTTTTTAAATATTTTTTTTAAAAAAAGAAAACAATTTGATAAGAGGATGAAGAGATTCCCCCAATGGGTTGTGTGAGGTCAACCTCCAAGCTCCATTTTGCTGGCAGAACCGTCCTCAAGACCTTGCTCTGAGCTAGAAATCTACATAATTACAGGAGGAAACTGGGGATGACTCATGAGAAGAGGCGGCCAGAGTAACCAATAACACCTTTAATCTTTCATATTTATATATATATATTATATCCAAGTATGACAGTCATTTGTACCATTTCCCAGGGAGATCTTGAAGTTTCCATGGCAAGGAAAGGGCAAGGGGGTCAGGATGGAGACAGGCATAGAAGGGGGCAGCTAAAGTGCTGGCTGGGGCTCAGCTCACAGAAGCTGCAGGAGCTTCAGTGTCTGTAAGAGGGCTCGAGGCTCTGCAGATGCCAGATACTGGCAGCAGAGCCAGTCTTCTAGCTCCACCCCTCTCCTTCGGTCCACTGCCTTCTCTGCAAACTTCATCATCATTAGAGCCCGCTTCATGTCGATCCAGTTCTGCAATGTGCTGCACAGTGCCGCCTCAGGGGAGCCTGGCTGCTCTACCAGCTCCCGCCGTGGCCCCCACAGCAAGCACTGCAGCACACGCTTGGCCTCACCGATACGGATGCGCTTCATGGGGTCAGCCTCCAGCAGCAGGTGGGCAAGCTGCTGCAGGCCAGGTGAATAGAGGGACAGGGCGGGCAGTGGGGGCAGGTCTTCCTGCCGGTAGTCCTGTTCCCGAAGCTGGGCCCGCACTTCAAATGGGTTGGGCTGGTGGAGCAACTCATAGATGAGGATGCCTGTCTGGAACTCATCGAATTTGCGGTACTGGGAGGCAGACACGATCTCAGGCGCTAGCCGGGCTTGGCTCTTCTTCTGCTGCAGGTTGGTGGTGCTGCCTGGCTTCTGCTTGGCCTTCAGGAAGTTGCTGATGATGAGCCGGGGCAAGTGCTTCTCACCTGGCATTCCTCGACAGGTGGGGGCAGCTGGGAGGCTGGGAGTGACATTGGTTGGGAGGGTGGTAGACGAGCAAGTGGAAGGAGTAGCAGTGAGGGCAGTGACTGTGGTTATGGGAGGGGCACTGGAGGCGGCAGCGGAGGAAATGGGGGCTGGGCTGGAAGTGGGCTGGCTGAGGGTGGCTGGCTGGGAGGCCTGGGGTGTGCAGTGCACCAACAGCAGGTTCTCCAGGCACAGGTCCCGGTGGATGATCCCGTGCTCCTTCAGATGCTCCAGCCCGTTGCAGAGCTGCAGAAGCAGGAAGCACACGCGCCGCTCATAAACCTCGGGCTGGGCCCGATGGCTGGTGGCTGAGTCTTGCACAAAGTCAGCAGCAGTCTGGTGGGGCACCTCTCGGGTGATAACCACCACGCAGTCCTGCTCTTGGGCAGGAGGGTGTGAGGACAGGGCAGGCAGAGGGTCCTTGGGCATATCGGGAGACATGAGCATGCTGGAGGGCACGGAGGCGACAAAGTGGCCGCAGTCCTGCTGGATGTTGAAGTGTACAGGCACAGAGGGGCTGCAGTACGAGGCTGCTTTGGGCTCAGGGCTTTTGCAGATCTGTGAGGAAAAGGATAAGGGAGGTCAAAAGTGGAACCCATCAGTCTGTTCAAGATCTGGTGACAGGGCAATTGGATGTTCAATTTTATCCCTTACCTCACACTATACTAAAAATGAACTCAAAATGGATCACAAAGACTAAAATGTAAGAGCTAAAACAATAAAATAAAATCTTTGAGACAAAGATTTCTTAGATATGACACTAAAAGCACAGTCCACAAAGAAAGAATTGAGAAATTTGACACCATCAAACTTTAATTCTTCCATGCTTCCTAAAACACCTCTAGGAAAATGAAGATAAGTAACCCACTGGGAAAGAGTATTTGGAAAACACACATCTGATTTAAAAATAAATAAATAGTGTCTTTGTAAGGGACTATTACAACTCAGTAAGATAAATAACACAATTTAAAAATAGGCAAAAGATATGAATAGACTCATGAAAATATGGTCACCATCATTAGGGAAATGCAACTCAAAATCACAGTGAGATACAAATTCATACCCACTTCCATGGCTATAATTAGAAAGAAAAAAAAATAAAGACAATTAGGAGGATGTGGATAAATAGTAACCCTCATCCACTGCTGGTGGAAATGTAAAATGGGGCAGGTGAACACAGTTTTTCAGTTTCCTGAAAAGCTAAACATGGGGAGTATTACGCTGAACATAAGACCCAATAGAGTGGGGTCCCTACAGATCGACAGGCAGTGTGGCTCCCTGGTATTGTAGGAAGATATCCATTGTCCACAGTACTGGCTGAACAAATTCTTATGAAGCCAGAGAGAATTTACACTGGCAGTAAACCTTACTTCCCTTCCCTCCTACCTGAAAGAACGGCTACCTTATAGCATAGGTGTTTGACCTCTGGGCTGCTCTCTTGGAGAATCTCACCAGCGGCAGGCACTATGCTTCTAGTACTTGGCCAAATTCTCTCAGGCTGCCCTAGTTTCTAGGTCCAGATCAAATATACAGTAAAACCCAGGCCTTATAGAAGCTAAAGGATCAGTGTGGTGATCCAGAGAACAAAGACATCCCACATCTACCTAGAAAATACCATCTTCCAAACAATCCAAAAATATGCCAGAACCTGTGTAAGGTGGAAACCTGTCAGAAGAGGAAAACGAAAATATTTTTCATTAAAACACGTGAAAGAAAAGACTGCACATTTTCAAAGGCTGAAAACCTGCGAAACCCTGAAAAACAAGGCAGTCCCATCAAGTTCTGGCTTTCATAGGTTTCACTGTACAAAGCTAATGAGGCTGGAATGATCTGCAGGACTGTTTTTTAGTGGAGTGTTATGTGGAAGCCACACACTTTTCTTCCAAGCATGAGTCACAGCAGCTGAAAGAAAACAGAGAGTTCTCCAGGGAATAGGAAAGTCAAAGTGCTCAAAGGCACTCTCTGACTGAAGGGAGGGGTAAACAACACAGATGCTCTCAAGCTCCTTGGCAGGAATGTTGCCTAGGGAATCGACACAACTGTCTCCGTCCCTCCTTTTCAGTATCTTTTTCTTGTACTAATGACAGCAGCAGCCACCTGAGGATCTCTAGCAAGACTAATCCCCATCCACCTGCCACTCAGCTAGAGACTCCTGAGCCCACTATAATGGCCTTCTGTCACACCTCCATTTCCCTGTAATTACACAGTGAAAGAAAATGAGGATGGTTAGTGTTCTCCTCTCTTAGAGGGATATGTGCAACCTTACCCAGGCCTTATAGAAGCTAAAGGATCAGTGTGGTGATCCAGAGAACAAAGACATCCCACATCTACCTAGAAAATACCATATTCCAAACAATCCAAAAATAAGCCTTCCTTTGGGCTGCTGTATTGCCACAGTCGAATGATTACAGCAGTGTTTATAAAGCTTACACATCACCACAATGCTTATGGGTGATGTTTTTAGAAGTTCTATTGCAATCACCTTTTCACAGAGATTTATTTATACTGCAGCTATACAAAACCTTTACAGCATGAAACCTGGTATAAAAGAGTCAGCCTGAGGAAAATTTTTAAAAGTCAATTGGAGGAAAAACAAATTAATTCAGTGATATCCTTATTATGGAAGTAGAATGGAAATAAAAGGGGAGTACACTTTCTCCCAGTTGCTGCTTCTTGTTACACAAATAAAAATGATTTTGGAATACATGTCTGAAGGGCATTATTTCAGGCTCTTTTTCATTCTAGCCTACTGTATTGAGTTTTTTAAACGGTTGTTGTTGTTGTTGTTTGCCGTCGAGTCGGCCCCGACTCATAGCGACCCCTCCTTGGGTTTCCGAGGCAGTATCACTATGGAAGTAGGATTGCCCAACCTTCCTTCTGAGGAGTGGCTGGTGGGTTTGAACAGCCAGCCTTCTGGTGAGCAGTCAAGTGCCTTAGGCACTATGCTACCAGAGCTCCTTTTTAAACGGTAGTTAATACTAATTAACGAAGAGAAATTTGGGGGTTCTCAAAACAAACAAACAAATATATAAATAAATAATAGCTTCATGTAAAAATACCCAAAGTGACTGACTACCCATTGTGCTTGTACTGTTCACTGTGTGGGAAAAGCATCACTGATGCCTAGGTCACCCCTCTAGTGAAAGCTTCACAACCACACAGGCACCTATCAAACTTGTACGTGCAAGGCACTGTGCCAACAGAGCACTGTCCACGCAGTATCTCCTTGCATCTTCCAACATTACAGAGGTGTAAACTGAGGCTTCTAGATGTTAAATGTTGTTAGTTGTGTAGAGTAGATTCTGACAGTGATCCATGTGTGCAGAGTAGAACTGCTCCAGAGAGTTTTCAAGGCTGTGAACTTTCAGAAGCAGATCACCAAGCCTGTCTTCTGAGGCACCTCTGGAGTCGGTTTGAACCAGTAACCTTTTGGCTAAGGTTGGCTAGTAGCTGAGCACTTAACTGTTTGTGCCACACAAGGATTCCTTTGCTCAAGATTATACACTTGTAAGTATTCTAGAAGTCTAAGGCAAGGGCTTTGGAGTGAAAACAACCTTGGTTTAAAGATCAACTCTGCCACTTACTAGTTCTGTAACTTTTGGCAAGTTATTCATCTCAAAGTTTGTCTTCCCATATGTATAGAAGGGGCAGTGACAGTCCTTCCTCACAGATCATGGTAAGGACTGAATGAAATAATGCAGGTGCAGATGCCTGGCCCACAATGAGTCCTTCATGTGAAAGGTTGCTATGGTTATTGCTCTTGCAGTTTTTGCTGAGGCCGAATGTGGCGCTGAACAATCCAGAGCTGACCTGCAGGTATTGTACAAACCAGGGCAGCGCTGCTGCGGAGGGGCCTGGGAAGCGTTCCCAGGGACCCCTTTTCTCAAGAGTATCAAAAGCCCAGCAAACACTCCCAGCCCAGAGCTCCAGTCCAGCCGCTGGCATTTTGCACAGAGATGTAAATGAAGGAGCAGAGTAAATGGGAACTGTGCTGGATGTGTTTCAAAATCAGTGAGCTGGGTCCTCTGGCAAGACCCGCAGCTTCCTCCCTGCCACCCCTGCCGCTGCTCTGGAGGGCAGCTGTGCGGAGCGCATGTTAAATAGCTGCGGAGCCATCAGCAGGGGCGTTGGCTAAGATCATTCCACTGGCCTGGGTCAGGGACAGGGGGTGGGGTGGAGGGCCTGGGGGTCAGGGCTTTTCCTCCACCTCCTTCTGCTGACCACATACTGTCTCAATACACCTCCCACTCTCCTAGTTCCATTTTATTTTCAGGGTGTCTGCCTCAGATTTTGGCTCAAGACATTTACCCAGACCATTGGGTCAGCTCCAATTTCAAACTTTTCGCCTCTGCCAAGTCTCATTTTAAACTTTGGAGTCAGGGCCTCATTCATGGTTGAAAATTTGGGCAAAGTTGTGTCTGTTTCAAAAAGGGAAAAGGCCCAGCCTACTTAATGCAGGTACCTAATTATGGACCTGGAATTCTAGAGGACTAAGAGCTCTGGTAGCATAGAGGCTAAGACACTTGCCTGGTAACCAGACGGCTGGTGGTTCAAACCCACCAGCCACTCCTTGGAAGGAAGGTTGGGCATTCCTACTTCCGTAGTGATACTGCCTCGGAAACCCAAGGAGGGGTCGCTATGAGTCGGGGCTGACTCGACGGCAAATAACAACACAAGAAGAATGAAACAGCTTTGAAAACTCACACGAGGCTAATAATTTTTCTCCCTCCCTGCACATATTCATGGGGCAGGGCCACAAGAGCACGCTTTACCGCCTCACTGCTGCATGTTGCTGCACCCAAGAACAGAAACTCCAGCAGGAGGGGCGAGCAGGTGCGAGCCTGCTTTTGTTAACTAGTATTCGGCAACCAAGGCTATATCATGATTTCAGGGTGGGCTCCCAACTTAGCATGCGCAGATGACATGAGCTCAGCCACCAGCCTCCATAGACCAGCCACATCCCTCCCGCTCTGCATGACTCTTGGATGACTGTATTCCACCTAGACTGTAGCATTAATGAAGCGGAACAGCTGCAACTGTGAAAGGATGCTCCACAAACAACCTCCCTCCCTCCCATCACCAGCTGAACACATTTACAAATTAATGCTAGCCCTGGTAATCTTCATTCAGGATTACTATAACTATAGTCTGAATATTTGAAGGACTTCTCCCAATTTCCTTTTTACATTATGCAGAGATGGATCTTGAGCTACCAAGTGTCCATGAACCATGCAGGAGATCCTTGGAACTCTCAGAGAAAAAAGGGCTAGCTTCTGGTTATCTTCTGGCTAGATTTCTAATGAAATAAGGAGCAATGTTTGTTTTTAACATTCTCTGGGGAGGCTGCAAGGAACTCTGGTGGGGCTGTGGTTAAAGCATTCAGCTGCTAACCAAAAGGTGGTAGTTTGCATCCACCAGCCACTCTGCAGGAGAAAGATGAGGCAGTCTGTTTCTGTAAAGATTTACAGCCTTGGAAACCCTATGGGGCAGTTTCACTCTGTCCTATAAAGTCACTATGAGTTGGAATCAACTTGATGCCAGTGGGTTTGGTTTTTTGGTTTGAGGAAAGTTGCCTTTCCTGCATTGGTCATTGGAGAATAGAATCAATTCTACATTACTATATGAGGCCTTAGAAACCAAGCTGCTCATGAATTTACATTATGCAGAGATGGATCTGGCGGGTCAGGGCTTTTCCACCATGTCCTTCTGCTGACCACATATTGCCCCAATGCCCCCAATGTCCCAGTTACTTAAGAATATTAAAAAACAAAATGCTTTGCTGACATTCTGATTCATGGCAAATCCAGAGGATCTTGTACCAGGTGGCCCCTTAGTTCCTTCAGCAGAATCAAATCACTTTCTATCCCATATAGAAGGGGGAGTAAGCCGCTTTCACTAGGCTCTTCTCAAAATGCAAACATCAGCTATCTCTTGATACTAAATGGATGAGTTCCCAGGTTCAGCCCCAAGAGACAAGATAAGAGCAACTGATTAATTTGAACAGAGGAAGGGGTCAAGGTGGAAACAGAGATAATTTATAGATCACTGTCATTCTCATGTTTACCATTCAGTGGGGCTAGCAAAAATGAAGAATTCCTAAATGCACTTCCATCCCCTTGTCGTTTCAAGGGGTTCAAACTTATGTCCCTTTCATTACATGAGAGCAGAATCTTAGCTCTGGACCTGCAACAACTCCAAGCCAAACCTGGTCTTCTACTGGATATAGCACCATCCCAATAGGGAAGGCAATGCTGGAATTGATTTTTTTGTTTTAATTTTGGTTGGGGATTGTCAGGGAGGTATAGCATACCAAGAAAGTAGCCACCAGTTTAGATAATAAACAGGCAATGAAGTTTGAGGAATAAGTCCAGAGAATCTTATTCAGGACTTTGTATTCTCTTCTCTCTAGTGCTTGTTGTTGTTAGGCATCATGAAGTTGATTTGAACTCATGGCAATGCAGTGTGACAGAGCAGAAATGCCCCATAGGATTTCCTAGGCTATAATCTTTATGTAAGCAAATCACCAGGTCTTTTCTCTGTCAGAGCCACTGGTGGGTTCCACTTGCCTACCTTTCCATTTGGAACCTGAGTGCTTAATCATTGTACCACCGGGCCTCCTTATCTAGTAGCTACCATCTTGATTATACTCCACTAATCTATTGAGGCACTAGATTTCTGTATAATAAATTATAGAGTATTCTAGTAGCCACCTCCTTTGTCTTTTCACAGGAAGGCAGCAAGTACTTGTATATAGTACTTGAACATATAAACCAGAGGTTCCTAATCTATATTTTCTGGTGGTATCAGAAATGTCTTAATAATCTCATTGTAATTTTCCTTAGCTAATAATGATAATATTAAAAAAAAATTTGCTGGTAAGCAAGAAGTTACTCCATCAAAGCCACTTTACTTTAGTTTACCATTTCCATTGTTCTAACTGGAAGAAAAAAATGCCTTGGGACAGATGATAGCAGAAGAGAGAGCAGAGTATCTCTCATCAACCTGCATTTATAGAAGTGTCTCAGACCATTCAAAGAACATGAAAGGACCGGAGTCCATGGCAGACACACCACAGTGGCCCAAATGGATGTGGACTGCTCAATCAGCTGGACCCTCAGAGAGCAATGAGATGTGGTGGCAATAGTTCTGACCCAAGGTCAAAGATTATTAAAGAGCCATGTTACCTTGAACCAGTCACTTAACTTCTCTGAGCTTCAGTTCCCTTAACTGATGAAACTGTAACCTAGGCTTTGGAGACAAACAAACCAGAGTTCAAATCCACCTCAGCCACCAACAAGCTGTGGGCAAATTACTTAGCCACTTTGAACCTTAGGTTCCCCATATATCTTGTCCTACAGAATAACTGAAGTATTAGTGGTAATAAAGTTAATCTACCCAGCCAAAAGTCTGCTTGTAGGGTAAGTGCTCAATAAATGCTATTATTATTCTTATTATTTCATATGATGACTAGATTTATTTCATATGATGACTAAATCTAACAATCCTTCTGGCTCTAACAGTTGGAGAATAATTATCTTAATTATTCACCTCCCTCACTACTTTATATGCTCCAAAAGGAACTCAGATCAGTGAAAACCTGCTGAACAAATCAATGACTCTCTATTGCACGAGAAGGCAACTTGTTTTCTTAATCCAACTAGATCATATATAGTCCATTTTTTAAAACAAAGAATGAAGCTTATATTCATATAACAAATCTCACAGCACCACTTCCTAGGCTAGGTTGAGAGTGAAATTATTAAGTATTAAAAGGAATTTTAGTAACCAACCCTGCTCATAAAGCCTCGAGAGATGAAATGATGTGCTCAAGCCACAGCTCTGGCAAAGCCAGGACCAGCTAGTCATGTAGCACCACGGAAGGAGGGAGATACCTACTTTCACAGCATAGGTGCTGCCAGGGTCTTCAGAGCAGGTGGCACAGTAATAAATGGCATCCCCTGAGTCGCAGCAGGGCTTGTTACAAGTCAGTTTGAAGAGCGACCAGTTGTTCTCATTGAAGTGAAGCTCCTTTTTCTGGCCACCCATGAACAGGTCCTCACACTTGGCTACGAGGCGGAGAAGGGACTGGGCAAAGAGGCCTCCCATCTTGGCGTAGGTGCCCTCCTTGCTGCTAATGCTACTCAGGAGGCTGTGCAGCTGCAGATGGGAGCTGGCAGTGGAGACCTGGCTGGACACACTCAGCTGGGAGGAAGAGGCAGAGGGGGCCCCTTTGGACTGGAGGCTGGGGCTCCCACAGCTGCTTTTGCCACTGGCCAACCCTACTGCAGGGGCCCAATGACCGTTGCCTTTGAAAGTTTTCTCCAGGGGCTCAGAAGAGGAGAAAACATGATGGTGGCGGTTCCCAGAGCTTGAGGAGTAATTGAAGTGAGACTCTTCATGGACACAGACGTTGGTTTCAGAGTGGCTGAGGTTCAGCTTGGGACTTGCTGCTCTTGGTTTGGAAGAGCCTTGGGTCCAGAAGAAGCCATCTGGAGAGGAGGCTGCCCTGCTCACAGTCTTTTTCTGGGGGAGTGGAGGGGGTTGCAGGGAGCCACTGGGGGACACATCCTCAGTGGAACCCGAAGGGAATGGAACAGGAGCAAAGAGTTTCTTCCCACTGTTGGTGGGTGAGTGAGTTGGCTCATAGGATGGTCCTGAAACAGAGAAACAGAAACAATCTGCTAATTTACTGGAGGCCAATACCACTATGGGGTCACTTCTGTTTTTTTTTTCCATCAAAGAAATTTCTTTGCTTGTACTTTTAAATTTGTCTATGTCTTGAATAGAGAACATAAGCAAAGTGTACATTATCAAAATGCAAAAAAAGACAATTCAGTCTTCTTCCTCTCCCCATCCCTTAGCACCTGTCCCTCTCCTCCTAATAGCAGTTTCTTATGCATCCTTCTGGAAATTTCTAAATAAACACAGACAAATGCATACATACTCACACGCACACACACACACACACACACACACACAGACATTAACACAAGGGAGAGCAAATGGTGCCCAAGTTTGGAACCTTATTTTTTATTCACTTGACATTATATCTTGGAGCTATTTTCATTCAGGTGTACAGATCTAAGTGTAACAGCTGCATCATAATATATTATTATATGCACGTACCATAATTTAACCAGTCCCCTCCTGACAGTCGCTTAAGTTGTTTCCTGTATTTTGCAAACAATGCTATAAAGACAACAACAAACTTGAACATATGTGGTTTGACTGGATTTTTAAAAGTCAGGTTTATTGAGGGTATAATTTACTGACAGTAAAATTTGCCCTTTTTAGTATGCAGTTTTGTAATTTTGACAAACACCTTATTGGGGCTAGGGGAAAAAGGCAAACCTGGAGCCATAAAAATTTTAGAAGTTGGGGGGATTTGATTTTACAAGTGAGGAGACATATCTTAAGGGAAAGTGAATCTTTCCAAAGTCCCTCTGTTGCCAGGGTGGTGTGTGTGGACACTCGATCACAGTAGGGGAAGGTTTGATGGCCTACATGACCACAGGACTCCAAACTGCATGGGCCATTCAGAAAACCTGGGAGCACATAAGATGGTGAGATGGATGGCTAGTTTAGAAAGAGCAGAGACTGGGCTGTAGCTTCACTCTTTATACTGAAGTTTTGACTGGAGGTTTCAGAACAAAACAAAGTTTCAGGTAAAAAAGATGTAGAAAAGTGGTTAGAGATATTGGAGAGAGAAGTAAATTGAAATAATACTAATTTCCTTCATTCTAAGAAATGACTACAAGATGTATCCACTATTTTTTCTGTCTTTATTATACTTTTATTTTAATCCTATTATGCTATGATCCTTTCCCTCTGTCTGAAAAGTTGTTTTTTTGCTTTCTATTTTTTTTTGTATCCACTATTTTAATAACAGCTTTTAGGGGGATAAAAGAAACATTAACTGCATTCATAAGTTGTAAAATGCATCTTATTATCATGAAGGTTAAAATATGAAGGAAATATGGGTCTTATATTCAAGAAAGTAGATAATAATGATTTGCATGCCTCATTGGGCTCACTGGGCCATGCCATCTTTAGGACAGGGTATACAACGCTTCCTGTATCTCTCTCCACACTAGCAATGTGACTGGAATGAAAAAGAGACAAGTATAGAGGCTGAGGCACATGATAAAAGGCCCCAAAGGAAGCAAATTGTCTGGTAGTTTGTCTTGCCTCACCCAGATGTGCCTGAATCTTCTGGGGTAGCACTTTCAGTTAACCTTTGCTCACCCACACTGAGCCCTTCTCTGCTTTTACAGCAAAGTAGGGGCAGAATGGGCCCCTGAGGAACCATAACTGGTACAAAGCATCTCAGATTAAGATGGGATCTGCTACTTTGGATGCGCCTATGAAAGAAGTAAGGTGAACTGGTGGCACAGTGGTTAAAACATATGGTTGCTAACCAAAAAACTTGAACCCACCAGACACTCAGCAGGAGTAAGATAAGACAGTCTGCTTCTGCAAATATTTACAGCCTCAGAAACCCTATGGAGCAGTTGTACTTTGTCCTGTAGGGTTCCTATGAGTCAGAATCCTTTGGGCTTGAGTTTCTGGATGGAAGCAGTTCCCTCTAGGAAGGACGGTGGATGACCACATCAGCTTAGCCTCACTGATGCCAGGCAGCATCAGTGTGTGGCAGGGGCCTCCGGCCAAGTATGACTCCAAATGCAAAGCTCATGGGAGGGCAAAGTTGGTGCATGCAGCCTCTAGAAAAGAGGAGCCATCGTGTTCATAAAAAGAGAAACCCTGAGCTGCTGAAGCAGGCTGTTGCTCCCACACTAATGCCTTTCCTGGCTCCACCATCTCTTACCAGACCCAGAGGGGAGCACAATGCTTCTCACACTCTCCCGGCCCACTTCCACATCTGCAGTTGGCAATTACTCTTGCTTTTCAGTGATTTATCAAGATCATGGCAAGTTTTCCTTCCCACCTCACCCTGTGTTGTTAATGACAAGCTAGGCTGATGCCAGCAAGGCTGAATGAGTGATTTGTAACTCTTCCAGGAGGGCCTGGGTTAATGATAAATCATGCAGTGACTGCACAGTCAAGATCAGCAACTTTATGTTGTTGTTGTTATTGTTAGTTTCCTTCAAGTCAATTCCAAGTCATGATGACCCCATGTGTGCAGAGTGCAACTGCCCCACAGAGTTCTCAAGGCTGTGTCTGACCTTTTGGAAGGAGATCTCCAGGCCTGCCTTCCAAAGCACATCCAGGTGGGTTTGAATCACAAACCTTTTGGCTGGTAGTCGAGTGCTCACTTGTTTGTGCTACCCAGAGACTCCTAGTCAGCTTTACATTTCCAAGTATTTCCCCTTCATAGTCAAAATGAGGAGAGTGCAAGAAATAGCTGGCCAAGGCAGAGAAGCTTCTGCCTGCAGCTCATCTCAGCAGACTCTAAAACCTGGAGTCCACAGGTCTTCCTACCATGCACTCCCCAGACAGAACCTCTTCTCCTTCCAAGGGCTCAGGGCTAGCAATGGGGGTCAAAGGAGGGCTAAGGTGGGTGATTTTCTTTCTTTTTCTAGTTGGAGAGGCTGAGAGAGGAAGAAAGGAATTACCAGCTCTTAGGCTAAAAGAATATAAAGAATGGAAAGAAAGGAAAAAAGAGAAAGAGAGAGAAAGAGAAGGGAAGGAAGAAAGAGAAGAAAAAAACAAGGAGAAAGAAAAAAAAAAAAAATGAAAGACAGAAACAAACAAAGGAGTTGCTGGGTAGCACACATGGTTAAACACTGGACTACTAATGATAGGTTGGTGGTTCAAACCTACCCAGAGATGGTGGGGAAGTAAGGCCTGGAGATTTGCTTCTGAAAGCTCACAGCATTGAGAACTTAATGGAACAGTTTTACTCCGCACACATGGGGTTGTGCCATGAGTCTGAATTGAGTAGATGGCAACCAGCAACAGCATGCTAAAAAAGGGAGTGCAGAATCACCTATGAGATGATTCTACGAGGTTCTCAAAGGGCACAAAGCCTCAGAGACCATGCACCTAGTGGAGGATCAAGAGTACAGATCCTCAAGAGTAGGTAGAAACATCCATTTCCTAGTGTCTCTGCATTCTGGGCAGAGAAACCTACCACCACTGGGGTGTCTGATTTTCAATTATTATGAACAGGCAGGAGAGTGGGCTGGGGAGAAAGTGGGGGGTAATCAGAATCCTGAGTCAGTGTTTTAATCAGCTACTCCCATCACAGGGCCAACCTGCCTGGGGGCCAGGCCTGCTTCCTGGTTCCCCAGTCCAGAAGTAGCTTCTTGGCTAGTTCCTTCTTCAGGTCTTGTGCTTATTTCTCCATTTTTTTGGTTTTATCATCCTTGTATTTAGCACATGCCTCTTCTTAATGGCTCCAATATGCCCCTTTCTGCTTCTACTATGATTTGCAGAATAATAGCAGAATGGACCCTTGCCTGCCATTAACCAGCAGTCGACCTTACCTGGTAGAGTTTCCTCATTTACCAAATGACTAGATTGCATCATCGGGAAGGGCCCTTCCAGCACTGATAGTCTATAATTTCAGCCACTCTCGCCATTTTCAACCTCTCCTAACATGCATTTTTTTTGTCTCAATACTTCCCCTGAAATAAAGTATTTCTAGACAGATGGTTAATTTGCTTCAAAAGTTCCTCTATCTTAGTTCCCATACCTGCCTCTGGTCCTGTTTCCAACATGTAAAGATTTCAGGGAAATTATTTTAAAATAAGCTGTAGCACTTCCCTAAATGACCAAAGAGAATCCAGAGCTTCTGCTTTAGGCTGTAGTTCAAAGCCAGTGTAAAAAACTGAGTGTGTTAAGACAGCTGGTATGATTTTTTTTTTTTCTTAACCTATGCTGTTTCCTCTTGCCTTCCTGTGAAAACTGTTAGTCAGTAACTTTCATCAGGTCTATATATCCCTGTCACATGGGGTCACTGTGGGTTGGAATTGACTGGATGGTAAGGCAACCTTAGAAACAGAGAAGGGCCTGCTTCTTGTGTTCCTTCTAAATGTTCTGCTTATCTCCAAGCTGCTCCAAGGATAGTCTTTTTCTTTTCCTGAAGGACGACAGAGGTAGCTCCATTGGCCTGTTTCCTGCCTATATAATTCCAAGAGGCCGACAGTGTTCCTTCCTTTCATTCTTTCTCTGTCCCCTTTAATTTAAGCTGATGAGTTTTCTGCTTTAGTAATTGGTTAGATCCATCAGTCACATGTTTAGTCTCTTTAATAAACATTTGTGTAGCCACATCCTTGGTGAACATTGTAGGATATGTTACCTACAGAATTTTCCAAATATTTAAGTTCTGTTTTCATTTTGCACAGTTCATTTTAAGTCCATCTCTTTCCTCTGGCATTTTATTATAAGTGGCCAGGAGAAGCCATGTGGCCCCTTTAATCTTGCTTAGAAGTCTCCTCAGCCAGATATCCAAGTTCATTACTTACAGGTTCTACCTTCCATTAAACATTTGAACATAATTCAGACAAGTTCTTTGCTACTGTATAAAAATCATTACCATTCCTCTACTGTCTAATCACATGTTCATCATTTTCTTTTAAAGCCTCACCAAAAGCACATTTAACATCCATATTTTTAGCAAGATTCTATTGTTGGCACCATATGTGTTCTCTTAGACAACAGAGACTTTGCCTATAGCTCTCCTCATTTCTTT